AATATTATAAAGAATTCTAAATATTAATTAAAAATATTAAAATGAAGTTAAATGTAAGAGAATTATGAATATTACAACTTAAATAACGATTGCATAAATGAAAATAGAATGATATTACGTATAATCATATTAATTAATCAATATCAAATTATTTAATTTCTTTCTTAATAACTTAGAGATAATTCTATTTTAATGGATTATTCACGATTGTAGAATAAACAACTTATGTATTTATAAGTATTTATAAATATGTATTTATAAATATAAAGTATTACCTTGAAAATGATAGTGTATTATGTGGTGTTAATAATATTGGCTCTGATTTTGATAATAATTTTGAGAAAGAATTGTCGTTATTTATCATAAATTCTTTTTTAATCAATTTATTTATTTTCATTAGATGATTTTCATTTTTATGATTAAAACTTCTATATATACGATCAAAATCACACAATAATGAATCTTGTCGCTTTCTCGCGTAAACATCGTATTCCGGATGAGTTTCTAAATTTTCTAACACCGGTATCTGTGAGCTAATCAAACAGGTACTGTTACCTTTCACACCAACACTAAAAAAAGAAGAAAAAAATTAAAAATAAAAATAACAGAAAAAATAAATTCCATCGAAAAATATATAATTTTATATAATTTCTAGTTTATTCTTTAACATTCAATGAATATCGACGATATGAAATAATAATATCGTACCCGAATGAAAATGCATTGCAAATATGTTTATTTTTTAAACAATATTCTTCACATTCAGTTAAACTTATAACATTACTCCGTAATACGATGTCCATATCTTGTAATTTAGAACCAATGGATATTCTTGTATAACAATCTAAAGCAAAAATCTATTTTTATCTTTATCGTTGCATAATTTATATATATTTTTTATATCTTATTCAAATATAGAATTCATTAATATGAATTACCATTCACAATAGGTGTTAAACGATTATCAATCGTAAGACACAAAATATATAAACATTGTTGAAGAATATTGAAAATTTGAAACAGTAGTAGCAAGGATATATGACACAGTGTGAACATTTTAATAATTCGATAATCGATCAATAATTTGAATTTTTTTTCTAATTGTGATTTATTATTTATTATAATTATTTGAAAAAATAATTGAGTAAAAATTTAATTCAAAAATAGGGAATTTTCGAATTTACATTCACTGTTATTATAAAACTTCATAACAATATCAAAAGCGCAATCATACATCTTACACTAGATATATACTTTAATTGAAATAAAATAATTGAAATAAATTTTCCAATAAAGTTTCTGAAACATTCAACGATCTAAACTTGACTGAGAATACTAACGAACAATAGTTCTCTCTTATACAAAACGCAAAGAGAATTTACCAAAGCCGCTATTACGTTAGAGACGTTTCTCTGTCCGTTTCTTCCCTTCTTCTATTGTAGATTTAGACACTCATAGACACGAAGCAACTCTTTCAATGTGCATTCGCAGTAGGTACATTGTTCTCTTGCAGTTATATATAACGTAAGTTCAAATAGCGCGCTTTTTTACGCAATTGGTCGTATAGAATGAATGGAACTAATTATTTTACTTTACAATACAACTTTACTTCGTGTCTATAATTATGTACAAACAGATAAAATTATATACAAAATAAATTAATGATCGGAAATAGATCGAAGAAAAATATAATAATAAATATGAACTTGTATTTTAATATCAAATATATGATATTTTCTGAATTATAATATAATTTTAAATTGTCATCTATATTAATATAATTTCCTGAATGAATTCTTATAGAATGAATCATTTATTATGAATTAACAACTGAAGGTATACTAAAGAAATGCTTATATAACGGAAGTGAGACAAATTAGACATAAACAAAGCTGTGGGATGCGTTACGCTTCGCGAAGCCTGGCCCAAAGAATGAATGACTCACCTCACTTTACGATACACCTCACCCGTACTTATTAGCACAAGAATTCCTTTATTTGCTTTATTATAAATATATATATATTAAATAATACTGTATTAAATAAATAAATTTCATATATTAAAAGCGTTAGAACCAGGCTCCAAATTAAGAAATAAATAGCATGTACAATTTAATTTGATTTAATTTAATAATAATAATATCATTATTAATGGCAATATATAAACATTTATCTTATAATAGCATTCAATATGGCAGTTAAAGCATAAAATATATTTTACTTTTTTTAAAAACTTATTAGAAATGCTAACATAAATCAAAATTTATAACAAAATTAATGAATATATTTTTTTGAATCAAAAATAAGAATGCTCGCATTCATTTATGTTTGTGCATATTTACATAAAAAAAAGATTTAGATTTTATCTCAAATAATTATTAAAAAACAATTATACAAATTTTATCATATTTTAGAAATCAAAATAAAAAATCAAAGACTAGCAACATGCATATGGTCTTTCTTGCATTCCATGAGCAATACTAAGATTTTGAGCACTTTCCTCGATAATTGGTGTAGATAACATATCTGTATTGTTCCAATTCAAATTTGTTGATTCATATACTCTGATTGATGTAGAATCACATTCGGCTGAAGATAATTTAAGGAGACCACTACCAATAGCCAGAAATACATTTTTAATTCCTTCGTTTTGGAGAACTGATGTTTCATGATAACTTGCACCAATTTTTGTAGCATAAACTCTACCCTCTTCCGCATCAACTTGGCGTTCTTTTGTTAAATCTGATTTGTTTCCAATTACAACTAATGTCATAACTTCTTCTACATTTCTTCGAAGTTCTGTTACCCATCGTTTCATTGCTGCAAATGTATTGTATTGAGTTAAATCAAATACCAACATAGCTGCATTAGCATTTCGATAGTACATTGGTGCCATTGACTTAAATCTTTCTTGTCCTGCAGTATCCCATACCTATATCCGGTAATAAAAATATTCAATAAGTATTCAAAAAGTATAAATATTCAATTTTAATAGAAATATTTATTATAATGTTATTTTGAAAATGTTTATAAACTTTTAAAAAATGTTAAATTTATTCAATATATTTTAACAAATAAAAAAAGAAATATAAAAAATATAAAAAAATAAATTTCATGCACATTCATTATATCTTATTAAATAATTATATGAATATAATGAGTTTAAAAAGATTTGAAATATATAATTAATATTATAAATATTATAGTACCCGTAGCATTATTCTTGCATTTTCTACATTTAATTTACAGGTAAAAAATGATGCTCCAATTGTAGGACTCAGATGCTCATTACATGATTTTCCAATATAACGCATAATTATACTTGTCTTACCAACACCTGAAAAAATTGATAAAAATTAAATAATATTATTAAAAATATTATAAACAATGGGTTAACCTAAAAATATTTTTGAATATTCTTATAAAATTAAAAAACTAATTAAAAAATTATATAAAATATGTAATACAGAATATTTTAAAAGAAACAAATATATATATGCATAAATGTGTATATATATATATATATATACACACAGGAGGTAAATATGAAATATAAAATAAATGAAAGAAAATTAATAAAATTATAATCAATTACTTTCTTATTTTCAAATAAAATTTACCTTGTGAACCCAATGCAACTACTTTTCCCTCTAAAATTTTCATTTTCTAACTTAAAACATAATGCATGATGCAAGCACTTTTATTTATTCTTCATACGATTTAATAACAAAGTAAATATTATTAGTCATTATGCACATTCAAAAACAGGATAAGGTAGAGTAAGAATTGATGATTAATGCCATCTTTTCAGTGATTTTAAAAAGATAATTCTTTGAAAAGATATCTTTTAAATACAATAGATGGCGCTGATGATCAATTCTTATTCTATGTATCTTCTAGATTTTTTCTTCTTTCTTTATATTTTATTTGCGACACTCTGGAGATGGCACTGATTTCAATATTTTTATTCTTTCTCTTTCCTTTTTCTTTTATTTTTTTCCCTTGTCTATATTTGTTCTCATTAGAGCGTAATCACGAACAGATAAGGATTTCAATCGAACATTTCTTTTTTTAACCATGATATGTTTTAATTTTTAGTGCAAAAAATATAGATAAAATTTTTGTTTTATTATATATTATATATTACTGATGATGTCGCAAAATATATGTAATTTTATATTGAAATTCAATTATATTTTAATTTAAATCATCATATATTGCAATTTTATTTTGAATCAAACCAATAACATTAAGAGTAATACTAAAACGATAAAAACTTCTGTTCTTGAAACATGCGAAAATGTATTGAATGTAGGTTAATTCTATAATCTCGTTTGTGGAATAAAGTTCAAAATTCTTTTACCATTCTAATGTCATTTTCAACATTAACTCAGAAAATAAAATCATTTTCGTCTGTGATAAAATTATAATTGTTGCAATATTAATATTTAAAATTGCAATGTAATTTTAATATAAAAATATCATAAATAATAATATTAATATTTTAAAGTATTAAGCGAAAGTAAATTGAGGATCATTCTACTATAAAAATAAAAATTTGAAAAAAATTGCAGAAATAACTATTAAAAATAATTTATTAAAAATAAAATTTTAATTTGAAATCTATAATTATTATAAATATTTTACTATAAATATTTAAAAAAATTATAAGTTAATATTGTATTGATAACATCAGCACAATTTATAACCACCATAATTATGTTTAGTTATGTTTATATAGTATATAATTATGTATTATTTATTAGGCATATTGTAATTTAAAGATTAAATAATAGCAATTAATATAAAAGAACTGATTAATATTATATATAATGCTTTAATAATAAATGCATTCTTAAACAAAAAGTATATACATAATTAAAAATAATTATTTTAGTATATACTATACTAAAAATGAAATAAATATAAACTTTTTATTTTTTTTTTTGTTTTTTTACGTACTATTAACATATTTTGTATATATTAGTTTCAGTTTATCATATTGATTTGAAACTTTAAAATTCTTTTTATTAATATATTATATATTATGTATTATTTGAAAATTATCTTTTATTTAAAGAAGTAGATCTTGATTTGTAATCTTTATGCAGGAAAATCTATATAATGATCGATTATTTGATATATAATATCTAATCGCATTAATATATACTATATATATATATATAACTAGTAAAAATAAATGATAAAATTATGAATTATAATATTGCAAATAACAGTTATATAATATAATTTTGATTTTTATATACCCGATTTTAAAAAGATCTAAAAATTACTTGTATAATGATAATAAAATATTTACTAAATTTTTTAAATATTAAATTTGTAAAAATAATCAATATTTTTTGTTTATTATCAATGACATTGATATAAATTGTATTTTTATCTTCTTATGTTTCATTATTTGTCCGTTGTAAAAATGTAATTATTTTAAATGTAATTAATAGTGTAGTTTTTTTATGAATTTATTTTTTGTAATAATAAAAAAAATAATTTTTATTTAAGTAAATTTTACAAGTTTGATACGTTAAGCATTTAAATAAAATAACAATTAGGAAAGGAAAAAAACAAAAATAGAAAAAGAAAGAAATATGAAATAAACTACCAAGAGAAAGAATAAGAGTTAGAGAGAGTGAGAGATAAAGAGAAGGAGATAGAAAGAGAGAGAGTGGTCCTTTTGGATGCTACATTTCTGTTCCTCATCAGTAGTCAACCTTTCTTCGCAGTGTCATCCGGTGATCGGCGAAGGAAAGACATCACAGTGATTCCGATCGCGATGGAAATGTAATTCAAATTAAACACCTGTTACTTTTATCGTACTAAGGATCGTACGCTTTTTATTTAATATTCGTTATCGGTCGTGAATTCGTGAGGCAATTGGTCGAGAATCGGTGCGTTTAATCGCTTACCCACGTGTGTGAATGCTGTGTGTATGCGTGCATGTGTGTACTGGATAAAAAATCAATTCTAAAATTCATAATCGGAAATAAATCATTAATTAAAAATGATAAAAACGTACATAAATAAAAGGAATTTGTATATAATTAATTTTCGCTATTCTACAGTGTGAAATAAATTGTCACATCCATATTCTATATAATCTATAAGATATAACTATCTTTTTTGAATTTTACATTGCGAGAATAAGAGAAGAAAGGAAAGGTATATGAAATATATAAAAATGGAGATTGTGTTACCAAATGTGTTTCGATGAGTCGATTCATGTCAAGTCAAATTGCCATTGTCAAAGTCGAAAGTTACCGACTCGAACTTTCACTAATAATCAAACGGTGTAATGCTACGGTTTCACGCGTATACCGCACGTTCACGGGGCATCGTAAGTAACTGAGAACGTATTACGAAGCCACCACACGAAGAGACGATGTGCCACTTGTTTCGATGACCTGGTTTCTCAACCCACTTTTCCACCGGACCACACTTCATACATGTGAATGCCTTCGCTACGCTTGGTGTATCTTACGGTACACGGACGATACACAGAAAAAAATACCGAGTTCAGAAACGAAATTAAAGAAACAGTATTTGTACCGTGTTTCCTCGATCAAAATTTCTCGATTTAAGTTTAACTATGTACTACTTACTAGTGAAAACAAGTATATACGTAGGTATGTCTATTTTGTAGGATCATTTTATCATTGGATTTTTGTGCGCAATTACCTACTGAGAATAAAAATGCGATCAATCAATGGTATTCTACATAATGTTGCATTTATCTGAACTTGATTCGAAATAAGAAATTAAATAGAGAAAAAGGTTCTAGCAACAATGACAAATCATCGATTGAACTTTTTATTGCGATTTCGTTCAAATAAATCAGAGGAGGTATGCACACACACACACGTAAAAGTACTGAATGGTATTTAATATTAACGTTTGAATAAGATCAACAAACAAAATTACTTTGAAAGAATAGATATTACATAAAAAAATATTCATAAAACTTTTGTAAAATATAAAAATTTCGCTTCATGCTACCTTTGCATTAATGGACTGATGAAAAACTAATATACTAATATACAAACTAATATACAATATCGCCAGAAATCAAATTTTTGTTGATCATTCATTAAATCATTAAGAGGAAAAAAGAAATGAATTGGTTGGCAAGTTTATTTTTGATTCTGTTCTATATTGGATTCTATTGTCAAGCCGAAAACAGGAAAAATGACCGGTATTTAAAAAATTTTGGTGAGTTTGAGTCGATAAGAAGAAGCGAATACCATATTTATATCTTTTTCTTAATTTTCACGAAAATATTTAATGCATTAATATCGATTACACACTAAACATTTTGGCAGAACGTCAGTCATTCTTTTGCATAACGTTTTGTGCTAATATAATTACACATTTCTAGATCTAGATACAAAGAAGGAAACTACAATGGAAAATGTAATCGATTCAAAAGGACAGTCACGTTTTTTCGACGAACTCGGATGTAAGTTTTATGCGAATATATTTATCGCAATTAAAAATTAAACGATTGATTGAGAAAATATTAATATAATTAATATAATCGATAAAAAATCGTTATAGTTGAATCATTATTCCATTATTTTTATTTTTCTTTTTATTTTATTAAATATCATATACTTAACTTTGATTTTCATCATTCATTTATTCGCCCATTCACTCATTTGTTTGTCTATGAAGAATATCTTAACTTAAAAATTTTCTATTTTAATACATTATAAAAATATGAGTCTCGGGCATTATTCATTAACTGGACGAAATGAATAAAATAACGAAATAGATATGCATCGAAAGAAAGAACAATTGTATCATTACTTGGAAAAGAGAATGTTAAAATACGGAATGTTATACGTGGGAAAAGAAGAGGATGGAAAAAGATGGAAAAGAAAGGATGTAAGAAAGATAAGGTAGGGGGAAGAAAGGAAAAGAGAGTGAAGAAAAGAATAAGTGGGGAACCAATGTTAGAGAAGATACGCTATCGTAGCAATGAGAAAGCTAACTGTTGGTGAAAGCCAGAAGCGCTTCTTTAGATGCCGGTAAAGTCTCGTCAGTCGATAGAATGCATCAATTCGTAATAGGTTAGGTAAAAAAATTAATTTTTCAAAGTGTTGGAATGAAAAGTTGCTATGTATGAACATAAATGGTGATTGAGATGTATAATACGTGAATGTTGTTAATCGAGGACACATTTCTCGAGGCATTTTAGAAAAGGATAAATTTACGAGGTGTTACCGTGATCAAAATATATTATTTTGAATAACATCCTTGATAGGTGATACACACATATATATATATATCCCTTATCGTATCGATTAATAGAATGAAAATAAAATGTCGAAAATACAATTTTTTCGATTTTTGGATTATTACCAATTTGTGCATTTTTTAACGATAACAAATATATCGATGAGGTCAAGAATTTTATCGATAGAATTTAATTAATATACAATTATGGTACGAATTGTGACAAAAATTCATTAACTCAATCTAATTTATTTAAATGATAAATTAGAAAAATATCGGATCATGAGTGTCATTGCAGTGGTACACGTGTTTCTAACAGTAACCGTTACTGCATTCAAATACAGTAATTACGATACAGTGACTTATGATCGTCCTTTGGTTACTTCTACACCGTCTTTGCCTCATTCATACAATTGGTATTCGAAATTGCAGAGATCTAAGAAAAACGAAAAAACAGAGAAATTCACATTATTATCTACTGGCCAATTTGTAGAGCAAGATCCTTTGAATTTATGGATCGACAGGCAATCAAACACAAGAAATCTCA